GGGTGTCGGTACGTGAGAGCGGTCCAGGGGCACTCAAGAACAGACGTCGATGATGAAGCCGTCCTGGAAGTATTGACGGAGGAGCAACTCCCCGAAGAAGTCATTCACGGAACTCAATGGAAGCTCTATGACTCTATTCGTTCGTCCGGACTCCTGCCGCAATGCCGTCTTAAAGGCAAGGGTGGCGTCAAAGGCGGTGAAGGGCGAAAACACATCCACTTTACGACCTCAGGAAGCAGCCCAGAGGCAGTAGTATCCGGGATGCGGGCCAGCGCGACGATGGCGGTGGCCGTCAACACAAGAACGGCTAGTTCTATGGGAGTTCGCTTCCTGCGAAGCAGGAACGGCGTTATTCTCACAGCTGATGACGTTCCCCCGGAGGCAATTGTATATTTTCAAAGTTTGCGAGATCAAGCTAAGTACGATCGGTGGGGCTCAACTCTCTAAGTGCTACTTACTCATTTAACTACTGAGGAGTCACTCCCGGTAGGAACTATTCGGCGGAGTAACTCCCCTGCAGCATTGTGTTTCTTTTTTCATCCAGCTTTCAGGGTCTTGTTCAATCGCTTTCGGTTTGCCGAAGGATGTCAAGGTAGTCCCACCGACTTTAGCCTTTCTTTCGAGAGGAGTTTCTCCCTTGTAGCTTGTTCAGAATGGAGGAGACTCTCCCCAGAAGCCAACCTGTCAAACTGCAGCGAAAAAGGCAAAAGGCAGAACCAAATTATGGATAGTGTCGTGCTTTGCTAACAACAAATATTCAGGGCCGTGCGGACATCTTCAGGTTCAAGTAAGAGCTCAGTCAGATAGTCATGGCAGAAACACCGAAGCGAACATCAGGTCGCGACACATCCAGAACCCCACCACCTGTGAGAAGAACGGGCAGAGCAAGAAGAGCTAGCCCGTCAAGTGACGAAATCGAAGACTCAGATGGTGAGATCCCTGGAGCTAAGGCGCCGTCCACAGGGCGTAATCTCGCGTTGGGAACTCCAAGGTCATCCTCAGAACCACCAGCAGGACCTCCGCCTCCCAAGCCGGTCAATCTACCTCCTGTAGCAGCCGAACGGCCGGGTGGAGGTCCTCCCCCGAAAAGACCAGCTCCAGCGAAGGCGGCTCCAACCATTCTCACACATGGTGGCACAGGAACGGTGGAAGTTATCACCTCAGCACCGACCTCGGCAGCAGACTCCACGCCGAACTCAGAAGGAGCCATGGTGGAGTCTAGCACCCATGCACCGGAGTTGCCCACTTTAAGGGTGCAGTTGCCAAGCCGGCTTCTTTTCAATGTAGAGATCGTGATAAGAGGGGACGTTCCTCAAGCAGAGTAGCCTCGAAACAAGGAGGCCAGAGAAGTTAAGGCTGACTCTCGAAAAAGATCTGTCAGCAGCAGCACAGATGACCACATCGTCTGCCATCCCTGTCATGCGCCTTCAAGCCTCTCAGAAACGCAGTCTGCTGCCTTCAGAGGCGGGACGCATGCTGGCGCAGGGCTGAGGCACGGCCAGCAGCGCTGCTGAGACTGGCTTATGTCAACAACCGCAAGTAGAGCAACATAGGTCGAACACTCGCAAAGCGAGGAAGCTTCTCACCCCAGGATATCGTCTCCCGCTGCGTGTGAATGAAATGATGTTGTTGTTGTTGTTGTCAGGGAGGGTGTTGGGGTTGTATAAAGCCTCCTTTGCGTAATATTCATAATGCGGTCGCTGCGCCTTAGTAGTATGGCGATGATGCTGGTGATGGTGATCATGACGTTGATGATGATGCCAACGATGCTGATGCTGATGCTGATGATGATGATGATGAGGATGAGGATGAGGAGGACCACTTTTGCTGACATCGCTACGATTAGTGGTCTGGTTGCTCATCTAGCTGCTATTGCCAATATTATTACGAAACATTACAGATTCCCAAACCAGGACTATTACTGCGCCAACTAATCGTTGCTACCACTCTTGTCGACGCGGTTGTCCCGTCAGGGTAGCAAATCATAGACCGCAGCACACGTGGCCCGGTTGCGCCGCTCCGTCTATGAGCTCATGCACACACGTCGCCAGTTTTAGCCTTGCTCGTGTGCTTCCCTTCGAGTGATAACTCCAGGCTAATCAAGTAATCAAGTGCGCAGAGTCCACTGTTGCGGAGTTTACACGAAAACCCAAAAGCAAGTTACATCGTGCTGCCAAACAGAGTTCGAAAAGGCTGTGCGCCTTGCCAACATGTCCCCGTACTCCTCCGTTGCTCGCTTGACGAATTTTTCGTCGGCAAAAAGCCTTGAATGACAGTAGAATCCAAGTGGTGTGGATGATCTTCCCTGCTCAATAAGACTCACAAGCACTTACTTGTTCGTGCGAAACAAACATCGAGGTGTGCACAACATCCCAGGAGCTCGACGATGTGGTTGAGCAGCACGCGGCTGTTTGGATGCATCTGCATCTTGTATGTGATGGAAACCTGCGTCGTGCAGGTGCGGCTGCGAGGCGGACTGCTGGCACCTCTCTTCTTCTGCGAAGCTAAGCGCAGTTTACAGAGGAAGGCACACAGCCTGTGCAGGCGGTCGAGGTTGGAATGTGTATGAACAGTGCTGTGAGCTTCTTCAAGCACTCAGTCGCAACATTGCTGGACAATTTCAGAGGGTGCGTGGTGGAGCGAGGGATTCGCTCGCTCTGTTTGTGTCGCTCGTTGTTTCTCGTGATAGCGCTTTCCTCTCTAATCATCCTACCCCTCCGAAGATAGACACATATACTTCGTATTCGTACATAGGGCATGCATCCCTTCAGCTGCACTCTCACAGGAACACACACACACACATTTCGAACAACCCTATATGCAATTAGATACGCCCGTTACGCATGTTCACACTAGCTGATGTAATCGTCTCTACACTGGCTATTGCTATTTCCCAAACTGCGTGCTAACACTCAGGTCTTCTTATGTTAAGAGTGTTTTCCGGGGATTTATCGTGTCATGCTTTCACCAAAGCGAGGTGCACATTGCGTTTCCTACACAATTCCCGCCACAGTGAAGTGCCCACATTGTGCTCCTGGAGTAGTCTTGTGAGACTCAGGGGCACCTGGATTAGTTACTGGGACTCTACCTAGTGTCTGGAATGCCCACTGTCCGGCATCTACGCTAGCCACTAGCAAAACTAAGTATTCCTCTTCGTGGCATTACCTATTCTCACCACCGCTATCAGCACAACCACTATCATGTTTGTAGTTGAACTGGTGGTGGTGGTGGTGGTGGCGGTGGCGGTCGTGGTGCTAGAAGTAATCGACGCCCCCGTAGCAGCAGTAGCAGTAGCAGCAGCAGCAGCAGCAGCAGCAGCAGCTGTAGCGGCAGCGGTAGTGGTAGCAGTGGCAGGTAGCAATGGAAGAAGCGGTACGCGTAGCCGCAACAGCAGCAGCGAGCATTAGCGTTGACAGTATTCTTGCCACTGGCGGTAATGATGCAGCCTGTAGTATCAGTCGGTATTTGAACAGATCCGCGCACGTTAGGGCTATCGTGTCCAGGGCTCGCATCTAGATCTCCTAAACGAAGCCAATCAAGTGAAGCGACTCCGACTGCACGCAAAGCCAGCAGCTTCACCCTGTCAGACAAGGGCTCCTCCACCTTCACCAACAGTTAAGGATGTCGGGGTTACGCCGATGGGGCCTTACAACATCTTGTGGAACTGCTTGGTCAGGGTGCACAGCTTGGCCCAGCATGGGGTTTTTTTGGTTCAACAAATGTGTCTGCAACTTCGAATTCTAAGCATGGTTGGCAACATGTCGGGCTTTCCCCATGGACGAGGAAGTTGTCTCTTAACTAGTCTTAATTAGTGTGGCATATGACGCTTTCGAGACATAAGTGCAATGTTACAAAAGCAGCTGCAATACCTGTATCTGTATGTATGTATGTCTGTACATCTTGCTGATCCACAGTTTGCAACAAAGCCCTGTAGTGACCGACATCGGCTATCTTCGGTTATCGCACGTCCAGTTCCCTGTTGAAAAGTCAGGCTAGGCTCCGGAACCACAAAACTAGTCATCCGCTGGACCATTAGTTTTGACCCTAGTTTTCTTTGGATGCCCGTGCCCTAAGCATTGAAGCATTGGTCCGCGCTATCACTGGTTAAAAACTTGAACCATGTAAGGATAAATCCATGCATGTTGCAGATCATGATCGGCATTTCTCTGAACCTTTCAAACAAGTAAAGGCTTAATAGTTCAGTGGTCGCCGAGGTCGCTTCGATTGGCCGGGCCCGAAATGGTTGATAGGATCGGCTCCAACACATTGATACAAAGGAACCAATACTCCAGCATTCTATTCGCTTTGCACGTTCGACTGGTTGTAGGCCCTAGCTCATGACTAGCTCATGTAAGCAGCATTACTGCGTGAATGTACTCAGCTTGCACGTATGATTGGGAAAACAAGCCGTTCGCATACTCAAACCAAGTGCAATAGCGATTCAGTGGCCACCAGTGGTCCCCATGATTGATTTGGCCCCTAGCCGCTGATTTCGTCAGCTGTATCGTTCACCCCTTTGTGTTTCGCTTCCAACCCTTGCTCAAGGACTCAAGGATCATTCAGGCACATATAGTGGCGAGTGACATCCTTTTGTTATAGTTAAATCCAACACTCCGAAATCTACATAAGGCCGCGTGTTCCGTACAATCCTTGCTTCAACTTTCTTTACAGCCCTTCCGAACTTGACGGAACTCTTTGAAATTTCGGTTAAGAACTGAGGAGCTATTGTTTAGACGCACGTTGCTTTTAAAGCTTGTTACGCCTTGGTGTCTAAATCCCCTTTGTTCACAGGCCACTACACCTGGCTAAAGAGAACTTGGGCCCAGGGCCGTGCGTTCCAATAAGCCATGATACCCATAAACCACGAAGCTATCGAAACCATTTTCCACGAAGCCACTCGAGTTGATCACTGTGAGCGGTTCAAGCACTTAGTAAGAGGCAACTCTGCCAAAATTCAACAAACTCAAGTTTGAAGTTTCCCCATGCGTTGAACATTGAGTGTTGCAGCCTCCCAGCAAAAGGTCCCCAGGAATCGTAGAAGTTCGAAGTTCAGCTCAAGCGAACATTCACATGCATTTTTCACTTTAGAGGTTTTGATCGGTGCAATTTTGGTGAGCATTTGTGCTTGAACAGACAACCCGTAGAGTTGTAATTACGAGAGCGCTTGTGAAGGGAAGACGAGCGGGGAAACCTGTGGGTGGAGAGGGGACCATATGTATGCAGAGGCGGAAACAAACAAGCAAATGATGGGGACAATCAATTTTTTTGCATATATATATATATATATATATAATTTACCTGTGTATATAAAGATCCGTACTTACATGAGGAAATACAGCAAAGGAGAGAAAACCAGAGAGAGAGAGAGAGAGAGAGAGAAACCTGTTGGTCCGGAAGCATCTCGTGAAGACAGAGTAGCTATTGCCACTGTATTAGCTCAATACAAGTTTGTTCCCTCGATGCTCGCATCACAGAGGCCTGCTGAACCGATGTCAAGCCAAATGAGCCAAACCGTGAACAGCAAACTGGCACTCTGCTGAATAACAGCTGGCTTGCGTCGGAGGTCTGGCGATGTGCTTTGATGAGCTGGCTGGTGACCTGCAGGGGGTGATGCCTTCTGCCCTTCCCACTTTTGCATAGCTCATTGAAGGTAGGATCACAGCCCCTGAGACTCAGGAGTCGTCTTTGGGCACCATAAAGCTCTGATCTTTATTGCCTCCCCAACACATTTTGCCGAGCTCTGAGGAGACTTCGTGCATAAGCCTGTAACTTTGTGAAACCGCGTGGTAGCAGTAGATGCCGAGAGAACTCGACTGCAAAGGGAGAAAACTAGCACTGACAGTGATCCTATAACGACCATGCTCACCACCACCACCACCACCGCCACCACCGCCACCACCACCACCACCACCACCACCACCACCACCACCATTACAGGAACAACAACATCAGCAGCTAAACTGCAGCAGCAGGAACAACAACACTTGCTGCTGCTGTTGCTGCTGCTGCTGCTGCTGCTGCTGCTGGTGCTTACTACCACCACTGCCCCTTTCACGACTGCATCGACACTAATCCAACTACCACGACTACGACTAGGACTGCAACTGTAATGACGACGGCTGATACAGTTGCTATTACACGACTACGGATGCTACTTTAATACTACTGATAAAACTCATAAATACAAAGATTGCTGCTGCTGATACTACTACCACTACTACTACCACTACGACGACGACGACGACGACGACGACTACTACTACTACTACTACTTCGACTTCTACTACTTCTACTACTACGACGACGACGCCTACTCCTACTCCTACTGCCACTACTCCTATT